AAATATCCGCATCTTCGATGAGCTTCGAGACTGCCGTGATGTCTTCCGTTGACAGAGGGTCGAGCTCAGCGTCACGTTCTAGATCATCTCCGCCGCCGCCAACACCCACTTCAGCAATGTCAGCACCGCTCCTCAGATGCGCGATGATTGGCTGAATTGACACCACTTTTGAGTTTTTCACCGTGTTGCAGAGGTTTCCCCTCTCGCAACTATGAAGTCGAACATTCTCATCCCGGGTGAGGCACCCGGGGTGGGGTGTATTCCCACATACGTAGCCTGCCAGAGCAGGAGCTTCTGGACATAGATGAACGGAAGAGCTGAAGCGATCATTCGATACCTTGCTAGTGAGAGACGAAAAGATGCGCATCTTGTAGTCGTCGACATGAATGCGGGAATTGAGAGCTTTGGCCAGAGCTATCCAGACGTGTTCGTATCCATAAGTCCATGCTTGGATGTGGAAGACGGTGTTATCTGGGTATTGCGCTATTTTGCGGAGTAATTCTGCAATGCCTTCGGCCTTGGTCTGGAAGGGTATGTCCTTGATGAAGGAGGTGTCAAGGTAGATTTTATCGAGCGTCTTCATGCCAGAGGTGTACTCGATCACGGCTGGGTTCCTTGCAATCGTATTCACAAACCATGGCTCGCTCCGGATGTCGCCCGTGTAGAGTATGGCGCGATACGAATCCTCAATGAGGAACATAACAGCACCAGGGCAATGGTTTGCATCGAATAGCGTGACCTGAATGTGACTGCCTGGCGACAGCTCCAACGTGGTTGGGGTCTCCAGGGGTAACGGCTTGAGCAGATTCTTCAGATGCTTGTACGTCTGCACGCGTGCCTCGAGGATTCCTTTGGCGTGATTGATGCGACAAGGGTAACGCTCGAGACGGAGGAGCATCTCCCGAGTGGCTGCGGAGCAGTAGACGAAAGGAGACCGTAGGGAGTCAAGCCCAGCCAAGTGGTCACTGTGTATATGGCTCAGGAAACACGCGAGAGGCGGACGACGGTCTGGATGCTTCCGAAAGAAGTCAACTGTAGAATGGTAAGTGATATGCCGCGATACAGATATGCCTGGTTGTGCGAGGTGAATCCTGTGAGGCAGCAGGCTGATCGCTGTGTGCATTATTGGGCAGGGGATTTACCTCGTATGTCAGGGAACTCCGCGACGAGTCCGTTGAATGTCGACATGGTGCCGGTCCTTCATTATTCAGGCGGTAGTAACACGAATAGCAATCATGCGATGCTGTTGAGAAGTAAGGTTGAAGTCGCGTCGGGGAAAGAAGGTGAAGTCACCTGAAAGATGAGCACACAACTCGGGAAGGAAGCTCCGATCTACTTCTCGAAGCTGCCAGCTGGTGACAGCTGCTTGAAGTGGAGTCAGACGAGCCGGACGGCCCAGTCGGAAATAGTGGGTCGTCGCTCCGGCTCCGAACTCACAGATCCGGAGATCTTTGTAGCTGAGTCTCGGTCTCGTGCTCATCCGCAGGAATTGCCTACATTCTCCCTGATAAAGGCCCTTAGAAGCTAAGACCATATTCTTTTGAGTACATCAGATCAATAAGCGCATTTGGAGCCCGCAGGAGCGGGTGTGGATGCAAGACTTAGGCCAGGGTGCTCATTGTTGCACTTGGACGATGGGGCAAAGTCTCAACTCCGAAACAGTGGGGCTCAACTCCGGAAGCCGTTCGTCACGGTCAAGTTTACGAGACATCGACATCGACTGCAGCCGTATTTAGACCAACGCCTCCTTCTTCCGGTCTAAAGAGCAAGGAATTACTTCAAACTCTTCTCAAAATCGTCAACCTCACTTAAGAAGACCAAAGCCAAAGATGACCCCTCCAAGTGCAGAAAGAACACTCAACGCCGATAATACGGAGACGCACTCCTCATCTGATCAACCTCACGAACCATACACCATCTTCGATAAACACCAGAAAAGAGTCATTATATCTCTAGTATCGATTGCAGCCACTTGTAAATCAATCCAGCTATTCCGAAGACATTGGCTTCTCTGCTGACCTAGACCACAGTCTCAGGCTTCGCCTCAAACATCTACTTCCCAGCCCTCCCCACCGTCGCCGACGACCTAAGCGTCTCAGTAGAGCTCGCCAACCTCACAGTAACCACCTACCTCATATTCCAAGGTCTAGCACCAAGTCTATGGGGTCCAATCTCCGACGTCAAAGGCCGACGAGTCGCCTACTGCTGCACCTTTGTCGTATTTCTCGGCGCGTGCATCGGTCTCGCAGAAACCCAAAACTACGCAACGTTGATCATCCTCAGATGTTTACAGAGCACCGGTAGCGCGAGCACAATTGCTGTAGGCTCTGGGGTCATTAGCGATATTACGACGCGGCAAGAGAGGGGCGGGTACATGGGCGTCTTCCAGGCCGGCTTGCTTGTTCCAGTTGCCGTTGGGCCCGTCATTGGAGGTGCTTTGGCCGGATCTTTTGGATGGAGGAGCATCTTTTGGTTCCTTGCAATCTACTGTGCTGTATTCCTCACATTGCTGTTACTTCTACTTCCAGAGACTCTCAGGTCTGTCGTCGGCAATGGTACCAGAACACCAAAGGGTTGTCTGGGAAAGTATCCCTTGATCATCTACCAACGGACCTCGGAGATATCATGGCATGCCAACAGAGCAACTTCAAATAAGGCACTTTTCAAGCACGTCGACATCACCGGACCCCTCCGGATCCTCTTCAACAGATGCGCTGCCCCTATCGTGTTCTTTCTCGCCGTCTACTACGCGGTATGGCAGATGAGCATCACAGCCATGTCAAGTCTTTTCAAGTCAGGCTACGGCCTATCAGAAACCCACATTGGCCTGACGTTCATCGCAAACGGCGTGGGCTCCATGATCGGCACGCTAGTCACGGGCAAGCTTCTCGACCTTGACTATCAGCGTGTCAAGGCAAAGTATGACGAGAGCAACGACCAAGAAAGCAGCACCCTTACGGGCTCGGACACCAATGCGGGGTTTCCAATCGAAAAGGCGCGTCTTCGTCTCATACCAATCTTCGCACTTCTCCAATCCGTCTCCATTGCAGTCTTTGGATGGACGATCAACTTCCCTCGCCAGGTACATATCGCAGTGCCCATCATCTCGACCTTCATCACGGGCTGGACCGCCGTTTCGACGCAGTCTCTGGTCATGACGTACCTCATCGACATCTTCCCCGACCGCAGCGCTGCAGCTAGCGCTAGCGTCAACCTCGCCAGGTGTCTTTTCGCCGCTGGCGGCACCAGTTTTGTGATGCCCATGGTGAGCGGGATCGGGGTGGGGTGGGCTTTTACTTTGTGTGTTGGGGCTCAGCTGGTTGCACTCATAGGTGCGGGGGTGCAGTGGAAGTTTGCCGCGCGGTGGAGGGGGGACATGGGCAATAGCTGATCAAGATCTTGAAGAAGGTTCGACACATATGAAGTGTCTGGAAAAGTTGTTGACACAATCCAAGGTTGAGTAAAGCGTCCCTGAATCAGAGTAGACAAAGAAAATGATATTTCCCCCCTTTATGGACAGCCCATGTAGCAACCTGAAGATATCATCTTGGTCAGCTGTCTCTCTCGGAAAAACAAATTATGAAGTCTCGCTGGAGGGACCGTAGCGTGAATCTGAAAGTCTCTCCAAGTAAAGGGACGTAGGAATTCAAGTGACTCATTGGTAGTAATGCGGAGAAGACCCGGAGGGTGTGACTTCAACTTGTTGGCCCCGTTGCCCCTCAGCCTGACATCGATGCATGGTGAACTCTCCAACTCTTATCAATCTATCATTACACAGTCCAAAGAGCTTTGATATCGGATAGCCAGGTGATCGAGTCACTTCATGAGAAGTCAGCGGCAAGATCATTCTAATGCCCCATGATCAGTCTTCAATTAGGCATCTTCAAACCGCCATCCCTATCACTGATTACTTCTCTCTTGTAATCGTAAACTTTCCCAACTCTAGGCACTGCTAGGATACTATACAACGACTCCCTTCATTTCCGCCTTTGTTTAAGTGTAAATCTGTTCGAAAGAGATTGAAGATACAGCGCGGTCTCGAAAGCACATCGACCATCCTCCACCGAAGAACGTCTTCTACTATAAGCTCAGCTCGTGGAGTCTTGGAAAGATGTAGAACTCTTCGAGCTTCGATCTTGTGCTTGGGAGAGAGTGTAAAACTGTTGAACGCCCTATTCTGAATCCAATTTCAAATATATCGAGTCATGCGTATCGCCGTCTGATATGGAAAACTTTGCAAAGTGTTTAATATTGACTCAGCTTGAGCACTGTTAATCACAGCTGGAGGCCTCTCTAATCGACGAGTGACTTCGCTATCGCCTCTGGAGATATCGAAAAGGTCGTGGACTCCATCAAGAAATTCACTCGTAGCTCCACCAAGGTCTTGTCACGAGTCGTAAGAGAGTGAAGTCATGAGAAAAATCTTAGTCGCAAAAGCACGATAATCGGCAGTCGATTGCACGACACAATTGACTCATGATGGATGAGGAAGAAACAGCCGGCAATGGTATTCAATGAATAGTCCACAACAGGTCGCCGAAGAATTAGAATCTCCACCCCGCGATGGGGCCGCGAAATCTGCAAAGACTTAAAAGCCACCCTCCGCTGTTTTCAGGACCATCATAATCAGGGTTCAATTGTGAGTCAAGTAGGCTGTGATATTTACGGCGTCAGGGTGGTGGCGTCAGGGTGGTGTAACTTGCGTGGCTGCGGAGAGAGTTTTCGGGTTGACGAAGACGTCAGCCAAAGTTGTCTTCCCTCAAGGCTCAAGGCCTCAAGGACCTGATAGCTTTCGACTTGTGAGAAAATGTCGCCGGCTCGTGAAGCCATCTTCGCCGAACCCAGCAAAACGCACATGAAATATGTAAGCCACCGAGAGTTACAAATGGAATTACCCGCAATCAAGGACCTCAGGGTCGCCGAGCAGTCGGGGCCTGGCCTACCAAGGTCGTGCCACGCTCGTAAGGGTACGTGCCTCTTCAGCATATGAGCCCGTGAGGATGCTCGTATTTCGAGATTCTCATACCAAGCTTACTGTCTCTCTCATAATGATGCCGATTTCGATCAACATTGCCGTCCAGAAGCCGCTCCCCGGGGTCGCGCCTGACACGACCAGCACCAAGACGGTTCAGCGGCAGTCCATGCAACAGCCGGCAAATCGGCTCAGGTTCGACCTGAAATGCCGCTACTACGCAACTCGAGATGATATTCCCCAGTGCTTGACATCATTGTGGAGGTATCTGCTTCTCCCAAAGCACCAAAAACAACTGGCAGGATGGGAGTTGCTGGGGAGAAGGTTGAGACGTGGGCAAAATATCGAGGACAAGACGCCGAAGATTGTATTTTTGGAAGTGAGTCAACTGGTTTCCCAAGCACGAACGCCCGTTCTCAGACATCACTGACATAAAGTAGATGAGGTTTGCTCATATTTGGCTGACCTACGACCAAATGGGCGTTGCGAGACGTGCGTTTCTGGATACTATGGAAGCCCTTAGAGACATCATGTCAGGGTTGGCAAGGGCGAATGCCGACGAGCGAGGCACTCTCGATTGGAGGAAGGTTTTTTCGTTTGCCTGTCATCCTCGCATTGCCAGTGACTGTAAAAGGCCGTGGGGCATCGAGCCAGCAGGATATTACTGTCACCCTCTCGAACAGGGTGGGCCAAGTGGTAGTGCGCAGAAGGCAACCCAGGAGCTTCTCCTCAAGTACATGGAGGTATGCTTCAAACCCGGCCGAGTCTTGACTATGTGCGGAACGCTGAAAGAGCATGCTCAGGTGACAGATCCCGTTTGTGGAATGAAATTGGCAACGACCTCGAGTTCCGTCGCCCTTCGAGAGGCTCGCAGGCGAGTTGACCGGAGCGACGACAACACACAACCTCTCTGGAATGCCATTATGTTTTCTTCGGTTCTCGGGCCCAACCCTCTTCAGCTCGATGTTGACTTGGCCGTCTTCACAACAAAGAAGGTCGTCAAGTGGTACGACGAGCTTCTTTCCTTGTGTAAGGTTGCTGTGCAATCTCAAGGCATTGAGAGTCGAGTGGACATTGCGGTCACCCTTGCTAAAAAACTGCAAGTAGCGTCTGAACGGGGGTACGCCGCATCAGATAGAGTGTCGGTCACATCCGAGTCCGCGTCTGAGAAGACTCTCTGTGGTGAGAAAGATTGGGGTTTAGGCAAGGTGACTGTTGTTGAAATCGAGGATGTCAGGGATTCGGCGAGGTACGAGGATCGAGAGGAGCTGGCTCAGCCCAGAAAGGCAAGATGGTGGAGAAGAGCGCTGGCATCTTTCGTCACCAAAGTCCGGGCCTCGCATCGCCAACGGCAACAGGAGGAGGCAAGCAAGCTCGTTCGTCGTTCATTGGAGATCAGCCGCAAAAGAACCGAGCTGAGCAAACGTGTTGTTGAGTGCAAGCCTTTTCCCGAATTCTACTTGAAAAGTCATCCAGGTAACTGACACCTATTGTAACCTACAGTCAGCGCCGAAGTCGAGCAACTACGGCTTACATCCAGGGGATTCATTCTGCAGCTGAAACTACAGACAAAATGGCGTCATGTCCAGGCAGTGGCGCAACGACCCGGAGTTACCATGGTCGAGGTTAGCAAAGTGACGACTGTCAATATTGACCACTTGTCGTGTGAGCGACGGCGGACGCAGGCGATCCGCGAGAAAGTGGGCAAATTGAACCGGGCAGACGATGCCATGATGCAGGGAGTAAGAGATATTTTGGAGCGCAGCAAGAAACTCAACAAGGAGCTCAAAAGCTTGCAAAAGGACCTGATGAAGTACGCCTATCGGTATGAACCCAGAGCAAGCTTGGGACGGCGGGGGACACTTGTATGTTGCGGGTGATGGCCAGAACGAGGGGCTGCATTTGGTGGAAAGGATTCGTGCATATATGTGAACCATCAAATTGAACTCTTCTTCCGACTTTGGATTTCGAATAGTGACAACCAAACGGGTGTGTCACATCTGTAAATGCTGAGCATAGATTCATGGATATGGGCTTTCTGACTTCTGAGTTGCTTCGAAAATAGTCGCTCGCGTGGGGGTGTGTCCTTGTGGGCTCCTGAAGAAGCGCGTTTGCGGGGCTCAACGTTCTGGCAGCAGCAGCAGGGACAGCACGGACAGACCCTTGATGCAGACAGCGCGGCGGGAAGGCCTTGGGGCGCGCCGTTGGACGATCATCGCTGTGGCCACGGTACCCTGCAGCCTAGGGCGTTTTCTCTGTCTGCCATTCTGTGCACAAGGCGACGTGCGCAGGCCATGGAGACAGGAAATGGCGACATAAGCGGCTTGTCCATTTGGCGTCGTCACAGTTTCCTATTTCGTGGAATGCTCTTGATAATTCTTGTTTCCCACGTTCGATACCTCAATATTCGGGGATGTGCGCCCCTGAGATGAAGAGCTCGCCATGTGAAGCAGGAACAGCACGGTGAAGGGGTACAAGAGCGGGCGTGGCGTTTGCTGTGGTCATGGGACACGCTTGCGCTGCACGGTTCAGGCGGACGTTGCCGCTGAAGAAGGATGAAGATTCGATCTTGAGATAGAGTAACCGTCGACGGTGGTTTAGACTGTAGACACGGTACAGGGGAATGTCGGGGAAGGCGCCTGTTACCCATCATCGGTGAAGAACAAGATAGACCGTAAGCCATCTGATCCGTAGCCATGAATGAGCACGGGAACGGGAGCCCAGAGCGTTAGACTCCAGAGTCCAGACACCGGGCAGTTGGGCGCCAGACGTCGCGTGCCGGGGTCGTTTCGGTCGGTCTAGAACTGGCGCGTCCTTCGCTTGGGTCCATCATGTGCTTGGTCTATCGGGGCCATCTAACGAAATTGCCGTAGCCGCATTTTGCTCGAAACTTGATTCGATGGTCACTGTATACATGCCGACGAGCGCTCGAAAACGTGGCTACATCATGAGAAATGTAGACAAAGAAGACGAAGAGAGGTATCAACGTAGGCCGAACCCCACGCCGAGTCCGAGGAGGCTGGAAGTGGGAGGGAGATAAGAAGGGCGCAGGCTCATTAACAAGGTCGGGCACCGCTGAATTGCCGCGCTAAGGCGGGGAAATTAAGGGAGAAAATCATAGTGAAATGCGGAATAGAGCAGAGAGGCAAAAAGAGGGGAAAGGTAAAGGTTTACGAGAGAGAGAGGTTCAAATCAGAGGGTCGACATGGGCAGAATGGGGGGAAGAAGTGGAAGATGCAAGAGAAATAAATGGAGGAGGACAGTGACAGCCAAGGGAAAGGGGGGGGACACTGGCGACTGCCAACTTTGAGCTTAAGGTACCTTAGGTAGGTACCCTAGGTGTGGTGAAGAAAGGATGAAAGTGGCAAGGGGCGCAATATCAGGCCGTCTTGCCGTGTTTGATTCTTGATAAGACGCCCAAAAATCACGGGGGGGGGGGGGGGGATCAAAACAAATTGTCTAGGCCAAAGAGCAGGAAGGACTTGGACCGTGTAGTCAGATTAGAAGGTAACTGAAAGTACCTTCCTTACCTTAAGGAAGGGAAGGAAAGGAAAGGAAAGAAACAGTATCAGACGCAGCTGTCTAACTCTTGTGCCTTCCTTCCCTCCAACTTGGAAGTTCAATCACTGGCTGTCCCGCTCTTTCCTGTCTCTCTCCCTCTGCCTCTGCCTCTCCCTCTTTCCTTCCCGTCCCTCCATCTTGCCATCGCAGGTGAACAAGGTGCTCCTTCCATTCTATCCTCTCGCAAATTCATCAAAAAAGAAGGCACGGCTTGACTCCATTCATTTGAAAGATAATTTAGTTAGCCGAAAGAAAATCAACAATACGAAAATCAATTCCCTTCACATCGCCCATGATGATTCAATATCCTAAACATGTGTTCCGACACCGCTCCTCCCGTGCAAAAGGTGTGTGTGTGTGTGTGTGAAGACGTATGTGTGTGGTGTGTGCCCCTTGTGACCGTCCACCACCAGCACCACCGACCGCCAGCACTCAATCAGCCATATCCGCAGTCCTCCCCCTCTCCCCTCCCCTCGCGCCGCAACACGAAACCACGTCACCTCCCATCTTCTCCTTTCTCACAACAACACCTCGCCATTCCACCACTCTTCGTCGCAAACTTACCATTTCCCATCGTCCTTTGGATTAACCCAATTCTGCAGCTTCAGAAAGCTTTAACGCGTCACTTTTACATCGTCTTTATCCAACCGTGAGTCTTTCAAAAAGTACCAACTTTGGCCCGTTTTTCCTGCCCATCGCGCCATCCGCCATTCGCCTTCAGGTTTCCCCTCCTCCCACGGATACTCTCTCTTTCTTCACGTCACTTTCTCACGAGCGCTATCACAACCACAACCTCTTCTTCTCGTCGCATTACATCTATCGCAATCGCGTCAATCTCGTAATCGTAAAGCAATAACTAACATTCCATCGCGACACCAGACCAAACGTCAAAATGGCACGTGAAGGAACCCGCTCCCAGACCGGCAACTCCAAGCCGCGTCTCTTCCCAGTCGTCGACACCGCTCCTGTTCGCAAGCAGAACACCACGACCACCACGACCGCAAAGAAGCCCAAGACTACTTCTACTGCTGCCAAGGCCGCGAAGCCTGTCGGCGTCACCAAGAAGAAGGCCACCACCGCCAAGAAGGGCCCTTCTGTCGCTACCAAGGTATGTTCATGAGACATTGTACATAACACGTGTGGGAGGCGCGCAACTCTCTCTCTCTCCTCCAGAACCACATTGTAATTTCTCTGCTTCTGGCGAGAATCTTGTTTTGGATTCGGTCCCATCATGTTGTGTTCTTGTCCAGCAAACCTGGGTGTCCAAGTCGCGCTTGCCACAAGAGGTCAATTATTCTACCCCATTCCTACGATACAGACCTTTTTCTTGATAACTCTCCTTGCCATTGCTTGATGACTGAGCTTCATCACTAACACACCTTGCGCAGGCCAAGTCGGTAGCCAAGAAGGCAGAAACCAAGGTGGCCGCGGCCACCAAGGCAGGGAAGAAGGAGACCAAGCCCAAGACCACAAAGGCAAAGGCGACCCCCGCCGTCGCAGCCTAAGTGTTTATCTTGACTGCTTCTCTCTTCGAAGCATGCCTGACGCATGAATGAGTCTCTCTCCAATCTTCAGTACGGCCGTGGCTTGCCAGTGTCTTTTCTCCTCCAAGATACCACCTTGATTGTTGTTGAGCGAGCGGACTTTTTGGACTTGCTATTTGTGACTTTGGGTTCTTGGGCGGGCGTCTTGTCTATCGGATAACTGCCTGTCTATGCGCGCCTCGTCCGCATGTTATTTTTTGGGAGGCTAGCTTCTCGTTATCCCTCTCTTTAGTGTCACGTTTGGGTTTCTTTCGGTCCATGGGGTGGGAATGCAAATAGGTAACTTACTTGTTGTGCTTGGGTCTGGGTCTCTGGGTTTGGGTCTGGGCTCGTCTGGTTTACTTCGCGTTTAGTTACTGCACTGCAGCTAGGACCGAACAGGGGTCCAATGGGGAACATTCAATCATGGATGAAGTCGGTGTTCGTTGACATCTCTGGTCTCAAGCCTGTGTTGAAAAGTGTCCACGACGTGTGGTTCTCGGCCTCACTGGCGCAAAAGATCGGTGTTGAGTGATTCGGACTCTTATGGGTGACAGCGTGTTCGAGCACGTTACTTGTCTTACCTAACAACGTAGCATAAGGAAGGCGTCTGGCATAGTCGCACACTCATCCAATATAAACTGGCCTGACGCCATGGGCTTTTCTTACCAAGCGTGGTCGATAGCCAATGATCAAGGGGTAGTAGCAGCGGCCACCGAGAGGAATCGTTGGTAGTAGTATATTCAAAAGTATAACGAATGTGGTATCAAGGTGCACAAAGTGTGCCAGTACGTCTATGACACTTTTCCAAAAACCCCATTGCCCCTTTTCGCGCCCTCCCCCCCCCCCCCCTCTTTTTGGGTGGCATACAGCCTTGGGACCCAACAACCCTCCTCCCCGTATCGAACCATCGTCGTTATGCCCAATAGGTTTATCCATCCAATGCCGCCGAACAAAAGTAATGCTGATGCTCCATAGTTTAACCAACCACAAGCGCCGTGTCCCCCATTACACCGACCAGTACAAGCTCCGTCAAAATCGAGAATGAAATCAGATGGGGAAGTTCAACTGCTGTTCCGCCCATGGGATGTTATAGTGGTTCTCCCAATTGCGTCCGTTGCGCGGGCCCTCCTTGATGAGCTGCATCTCCCGGACTCCGCAAAACATGCCGTTGCGCCCCGTTCGCTCAACCATCTTCCACCCTTCCCGGCGTTGGTAAATCTCTTCCATGAAGCGTTGCCCTTCGACAACCTCTCTGTGAGGGTTCGGGGTCGGGAACCGTGAAAAGTAGGTAATGATCTCCTGCGGCAGGGCCATGAGCCGTTCCCAATGGCGAATAACACGCTCGAGGCGTTGTGTTCTCTTGCGATAGGCCACGCGCACGTATGGGTTCACAAAGACGCCCATGTCTGGCTCTCCGGCCTTGTCTGCGACACTCGTAACATCGGCAAGGAACAGACAGCATTCGCAGGCGTCAAAGTAGACCTCGGGTTCGTAGCGGAATCGGACTGGTGTCGTGGTGTTGTGAGGGTGGTCTGGGTTAATGACGTGGTGCGCAATAGCTTGCCAGTCTTTCGTCGGCAGCTTCTTATCCAGGTTCTGGATGTACTTGGCTTGCATGGCCACCATTCCACCCCAGCAGCTCTTGACGGGGACCGCATCTGTCTGCGAGAGCATGGCCTTGCGTGAGATTGCCTGGCCCTTGTTGGTGAAGTAGGGGAAGATCGGGATGCCGTTGGAGTACCCTTCAGCATCGCGCTGCGCATAAAGGTCATACTCGAGGAAAGGGTTCCAGTCATAGTCCAAGGAACATGCCGACAGGTAGTGAGCTTTGCCGTCTTCGCCCGCATTCGTGTTGAACAGTAGATGAGCGGCGTCTACCGGCGCAAAGAGCGCGTCGTTGAGGAACAAGATCTTGTCATACTTGACAATCCCTGCATCCGTGTCGTACTGGTCCAATGGGTAGAGCGCGCGGTTGCGCATCTCGGACAGATACGCCAAGCGTTTCAACCTCTGTGTTCCATCAGGCATGGTGACATGCGGGAAGACGTTGTAGTCGACCTGACCCTCGCTGACGATCTTGTGCTTGCATGGCACATTTTTCTTAAACTCCTCCAGAGCAGCAGTACCCAAGTCACCACTGTCATTTTCGTAGATGCTAAGGAATGTGTTCTCCTCGCCAATCATGTGGATTAGGTCCAGTACATTCTTGGCCCATTCTCCCCCTGCAATCTTGCCCTCTGGGTCAAACAAACTGACGGCAATGAATACCTTTTCGTTTTGCATATTGGCGCAGCCAGAAAGGCTGTCGGACACCAGACATCTTTTTCTCAAATTTTTGTAGTGCT